CCGAAGACGACTTAGATAGAAGGCGAGTGTTATATCCCCCAGTTGTATGTTAGGAAGAGAAGGCAGACAGGATAGCAAAGAACAGTTTACTGCAACAGTTTCTGCTTGAACATGAAACTCTGCGCGTGTCTCTCAACTTGTCCCGTGTCCATTAGCAAGTCGTCTCGTCTGCAGCTTGTCTTCTGTGTCTCGGCAGCGCGCTCTCGTGTCGGGTAACAGCTCTTGTGTCGGTAGCAGTATCTCGTCTCGGCAGTAGGTCTCATCTTGGCAGCTTGGTCTCGTCTCGGCAGCAGAATGCGCCTTCTGTTCGCAGCCAGCAGTCTCTGTTCCCTGGCTCTTCTTATTGGTCCCCCTACGAGGCGCTTATCCGGGTGGGATGCTAGTGATCTCGGTATGACACGTGGCGGCCCTGTTATGCGCGCTTTGCCCGTTCTGCCTGCATCGTTTGAAGTGTGGGCCCTCTTTGTTATTTCGACCTCAGGACGGCCACCGGGTGCTGGCGGACCTCTCAGGGGGATGCATAACTCGGCCGCGTTCTTTCCCGTGTTTACAGCCCTTTGGGACGGCCGGTGTTACGTCTGTTCGTGGCTCTTATGTCAGGCGTGATCTCAGGATGACAAGGGTGATGGTTAGGCGTGCTAGGCCGTCCTAACAGAGAGAGAGAGATAGGCTTTATTTTGTAAGCATCATTGAGATGTTTCAACAACCGCTATCCCGTACCCGTGGAAAAAGTAAGTGCACAACAAAAATAACACCGGAATATTGCGCAGGATACATAATGGCCAAAAAACTGTAGCTGTTGAAGTCGTCAGAATATTTAGTGAATGAGACCTGAAGGTAAGTCAGATGATTTTTTTCGTTACTTTTGTCCTAATAAACAAATATGGATTACAAATGAGTATATAATAGCCAATGTAGGCTCGGAAGTGCATTGGTCCGAGAGTCAACTTTCTCCAACTCAAGCTCCAATCCTTTTGTACAGAATAAACTGTTCCTACCACTTCTGCCTTCCACGTCTTCTCTTCTCCTAAGGAACCGGGCCCGAAGATTGCAGTTTCTAGGATTTTATTTCCAGCTGAACCATCTTGAAATTCTCCACGTCCTTTCTCCAGTGAACATCCTGTCCGATCCACATATGATTGTTCCCTCTTACGAAGGCTGTCCCATTTTCTCTGAGCCCATGTCCCCCTCCTCCCTCAAATACTGGCCGCCCTCTCGTGTTTACCCTTTCAATCAATTGCACATGGCTGAATACTGCCCCCAGCCCCTCGGGTTCGGCTCCCTTGCTTGTTATCACCTTTTCCTACAATGTCGTCGGCTCCCCGTTTCGACTCCCTGAGACGAAATCCCGTGAAGTTACTTTGTAATGGTGAGCCAGCTATGCCCCCGTCCGCACGCTGGGGCGCTTCGCGCGGGATAGACGTGGCCATCGAAGGGCCCCTTCAACACCCCCGTCGCTGACACGTTCATACTGCAGAAACAGGTCACAGCTCACCGCTCGTGATTAAAGTTCAAAAGGTCAGAGCCCGCGTGCCGTCCAACAAGCAATCCA